ATTCTCCTTCAAAGAAGATAGACGACATCGGTCACCAACTGTCGAACATTTCAGAGTGCAGACATAAGCTCAGATCATTCACTAGTCTTATATAACATCAAACTGTGCCCCAAAAAAATGTACAATAAGCCACAACAGTACTACACCGCTGATGTGAACCGATTGAGAGTCGAGAAAATAAGGCAATCATACAGGAACAAACTGTCTAACAATATGAAAAACATAGAGCCAACATGTAATCTGGAAGAGCATACCAAAAAAATAGCACAGACCATTAAAGATACAGTAGAGACAACGATACCTGCAAAAAGAAAAACTAAAAAAACCCTGGGTTTCCGAAGTGACTCTCAAACTTGCTGATGAAAAACGTAGACTAAAACAGATGAAAAACGTTTCTATACAATGCGCACAGCAATATAAAGACTCATGTTCGGGAGTCAAAAAATCTGCAAGACAGGATAAAGAGCATTGGATAAATGATCAATGCGAGCAAGCTGAAAAAAATCTAAATATTGGGAATACTAGAGCAACATACAGCCTATTAAAAACATTAAGAAGCGAATTTTGTACCTCAGCTGAATGTGATAGGAGGTCAGCAGGGTACAATGTTACAGGCAAAAGATAACATAAAACAAAGATGGACACAGTATTGTGGCAGTCTGTATAAAGATCCTGGCGGCGGTGACGGGATGGTTAAAGAACTTGAAGACATCGCACCTCCGGGAAACGAAGAACCCCAGGATATCCTATATTCAGAGGTCAAAACAGCAATACGCACACTAAAAAGAAACAAGAGTCCAGTGTCAGATGGTATCACGGCGGAAATGCTACAAGCTGGGGGCGAACAGTTAGCACGTAAAATCCACAATCTCTGTAATAAAGTATGGCATAAAGGTACAATTCCAGAAGAATGGGGCAAATCCATCCTGGTGCCTATTCCAAAAAAAAGGAGATCTCAGCAGTTGCTCGAATTACCGAACGATCTCTCTTGTCAATCATACAGGAAAAGTATTCCTAGTAGTACTACTCAACAGATTAAAAAATCATCTAGATCCGTACCTCTGCGATGAATATGCAGGATTTAGGAAAGACAGGAGCACCGTACATCAAATTCTCACACATAGATTATTGGCTGAAAAGGCAAAAAGACAGGGAAAGAAAATATATAATTGTTTCATAGATTTTCAAAAAGCATTCGATACGATTAAACATAAAATTATCNTTTTCCAACAAAAATTGTCTTTTTTTAAAATTATCGATTTTATAAGCCGTGTATTTTGGAGCAAGTGCAATGAAATAAACGGGATTTTTTTACTGATCGATAGCCCATAAAATTTACTACAAAAAGTGTTCTTACAGTTTCTGGATCTCGTGCTTCGTTAATTTTTTACAACTGTTTTTCTAATGTCCACTGTAGTGGACATCCGGGGGTAAAGGGTTAAGTAAAGTAGTGTCTAACCTAGAACTTGAATTCAATTATTGAATATCTGCTGTCAGGTTCAGACTAATATACTTAGTACATATGTGTGATGATATCGTTAATAAGCAGCATTTTGTGAATACATGAATAAGTGCATTTGATTGAGCCAGTCAAAAGTTAGTTCAATTTTACTATATGAAACTTTTCGTGTAATATATCAGTTGATCTTCAGCGGCTTCTGATGGGTCTTTTTAACCTTGATCATGACTTCAAGAATCAAGCAACATACGTCTGAAAATTTCTCGCTGATTAAAGTCCAATTTTATTCTAAATATGACCTCTGAATAGTTATCAATACTTTTTAAACAAGTGTGTCGCAGTTGAGATTAAAGAAATAGACTTCTTTCACTGTTCCTACAGTTGCTGAAAAAATAGTCAATGATAAATATTTTAACTTTCCAATTCGATGGTTTTTAAACAATAACGGCTAAATGGAGTATAAAAGGATACATTTCCAGCATGCAAGTCCATTTCTTTCTTTTCCTATCACCCAAACTCTACATTTAATCTTTTAAGAAAAGAACGATTTTTTAAAAGGTTTGATCAAAGGTTTTACTAGTCGAGAAATCCGAATCTGAAATCGGATTTACGAAATTTTGAGTTCGATTTTACCACAAAAATTATTTTGTACAAAAAAAATAACTTTTTTCATCAAACTAGTTTTTCATAAAAATTTTTATGGTAAAATCGAACTCAAAATTTCAAAAATTCGATTTTAGATTAGGATTTCTCGACCACTAAAACCTCTGTTCCAACTTTACAAAAGAAATCGATCTTTTCTTAAAAAAGCTCTTCTTTTGTGCAAATATCTCTACTTTAATTACTTTGTTAAAGTATGCATGATGCTTACCTTGATAATAATGAAGTGTCTGAGTAATAGAAAAGGAAAGAAATGAGCTCGTATGCTTCTTAAAATTGTTTTATTAACAATTTTTTAAAAACTTTTTTGTATTTAAAAAATATTATGTAATTTCTAATAAAAATATTACAAAAGTGAAGACGTCACCTATGTCGACTTTTTTAGCAACTTCGATCGCATTGTGACTTGTAACTGTGAAACTTTTTACCGCAGTTTGATCGCAATCGAATACATGGGTCCCATCTATCTGTGATCAGAGTCTCATATAAAGTTGAATGAATTAGTTATACTCAGAAAAACACAACTACATTTTATATGTTGATATTGGTGGCCTAAATTAAGGTTTTTTCATACTGGAATTTCGGATTTGTTTTTCCAGAGTATTTTATTCAACTTTTATAGAGTACCAATAACCATCCCTAGCGAAAGTACTCAGTTCAGGATATCTAATATAGGTACTTCGAAAAATCTCAGTGATTTTACTGATGTGGGTATGGGACTGACTCTTGTCCTCTTCTAACCCCCCCCCCCCCCCCCCCCCCCCCCCCCCCCCCACCCCGCCGCCCGCCGCCGCACCGACCCAACGCAACCACGAAAAAAACAAGAGCGAAAAAAACAAAAAACCA